AGGAAAGTGACAACATGAGTTTCCTAGAGTTTGGAACGTCTTTACGCCACCCAGTTTAACGTTTATACTGTAAAAATCGTGGAGCAAGAAAAAAAATGGTAGATAAAGTGGTCGAAACAGGAACAAAGACAAGAAAGATTCCAAGGAGAAAATATTTGTTAATTTTAATTACGACCTTTAGCATTGGAAAGGACAAATTAGTTGACTCCAAGAATACTCATCCTTTATAATGCATTACTTGGAATGTAAAATTATTAGAGTTAAAACTGTATACAATTTGTCGAAAATTTGCAAGAGATGACTGTAAAGAGACATTGTAAAAGAATTTAAGATAGTGCAGGAAAGGGCAAACCATAAGCAAAATCGGAGTTTAATATTTAGTTGAATATCTTTATAAAGTAAAAAGATCAATGCAAAACTTATTTAATTACTAGCTAATTAAATATACTCTGTTTCAAGAAAATAATAATTAACGAGAAAGAATGACATTGCTTTTATACGAATGAAGAGAGTCAAAGCCTATGTGACTTCTTGAGTCAAGGGGATAGCTTAGAGTTTCTCGAAATTAAATGCACACATATTTTGAAATATTCAATTTTAGAAATGCTATTAAATAGAAAAACTAATCCATGTCTGGAATTTTACAATAATTGATAAGAACACTAACTGAAATCCTAGTAAATAGTACGATAAAAATAGCTTAGGATAAGAATTGGTGAAAAAAGACACGAGTTTGGGGTACACAAATTATATGCTAATACATACACTTAAACTTGTCCTCCAAAAGAGAACTAAAATAAGAGTGTTTTTTATAAAAGGCATTGTGAACTTAACATTGGAAGTTTTCTTGTTTTTGTGTTGAAAATTTTTCTAAGAATCCAGTGGGAACCCCGATAAGCAATTTTCAGAAATAATGATGAATGCCATGTCTTTTAAAAATTTGAGAAAAAAACCCACGTAAGTATTAGTGGAACCTTGATCTATGCGTTCTTGAAGGCATTTTAGTCGAATCTCGGCAGAAGTACTGAGCGGAGAAGATATCCCGACACTGTTAACCCTCAAAGGTTTGCAGGAGCAACTATTGTGTCTTCGCTTATTACCTATATGCACTGTAAAAACGGTGCACAATCATACCGGTTAAATACTGTTGCTGATAAACTGCCTTTGATGAACATATATTCCTTCCGGTTTGATCAAGCAATTTAAAAGCCAATCGAAAAGCTTGTGGAAGTTCATCAGCAGATAGAGCACTGATTAATGTATTTGCCGATTTAAGCTAAGACAAATAATTAAATGCTCGTTTTACCAACTCTTCCAACTTCTTCATCCCAGCACTTTCCGAACTGCTTAAGAAGCACATCTCATCACTGCGCTGCATTCCAATCTTTGAAAGACGACGTAAGGCTGGTCAAGCTCCAAATGATACTGTTGGCCTATTAAAACAAGCGGCTAAGCATTGATGTGTGACCAATCTTTATTAGGTGGCATAGAAAGTCTTGCTTAAATAAATAAGTAATAAAATTTTAAAAAGAAAAAAAGCTGTTTTTTGCTGCATTTGATCTGACTGCAAGGGTCCAGTTTGTAGTGTAAAACTTCGGAATATTTTGAAGTCACGTCTTACTTTTTCAAAGATTTTAAATTTTCATTGTTAATTTAAATGAATTTCATATTTCAGAGCTAAATTTTACGTACTAGTAGCTTGCTTCTCAGGACCCTAGTAAAATCTAGGTTAAGTAAACCATTGTGACTTGTCTTTGGTTTTAGATCATTATATTAAAAAAAGTAGCTAAAGACCCTTTGTCTTAGCAATTCGAGACTTTTTGAAAACTAAAGGAGACATACGGTTTGTACTATCGACATATAGAATGGCTTGGGGCTACTTGTATTTCCCGGAGGTCAGGCCTTCCAGCGGAGGTACAATGGTGGCCTCCCTAAGTATTCCGCAACCAAAATTAGGATTCAAGAAGAAATATTTATGGTTTTACAGGGCATTTTTAGCTACGATGTTGGTTCTTCTTAGCCTTTGCTACAGAAAATATGTATTCAAGAACGCATATTACATAGCTTCCTGGCTTTTATGAACATTCTTTTGTTGCTCTTCATAGGCCCTGTTTTTTTCGCACATCTCTTCCGACAAGTTCTTTTTCCGCCTTAGTATGTAAATCCCATCTTCCGCTAATATCATGAACTGCGATTGGTTGTGCGCAGGTTTGTATGTCACAGGATAAATGACATGCTGATGAGGTAATTTTATCACTCGAAATGTCTTTTTTCTCAAAAGGTGGTGGAACTTGCGATGCATCCTCGCCCAAGAGGGAAGGGTTGGAATGCATCTACAGAGCTGCACTGTCTCCTTTATTGACGTTGGACTGGTTATGCCTATCGTAATGTTTTTCCAGCTATACAACACACAGGTGGAAATGCGCAAGGTCAAAAATATCTCTCATCTTTTATTTTAGTTGCAATAGGTACCCTGGAACCTGTAGGTCGCTACTTCCATGGAAGATAAGAAAATTTCAGGTGAGAGTGATAACCACTTTTAACGACAAAATGGTAGTTAATGATTTGACTGCAGTTCTATGCGTTAGGAATCATCGACCTAGGCATAAACCTCAAATCTGAGAGTGGTCGTCCTTAGTAGAACCGGTAAGAAGAATAAGAAAAGCGCGATTCGTGAATTTTATCTGCGAATGACTAGGTACCATGCGCGTTTTATAGTTTGGATAGTTCCGTTTAATGACGGGTTGTAAAGACGCTGCCCTGACGAACGCACCGATTGAAAAAGGAAGATTGACCATTTCAGTGTCTTAGATCTTCAGAAATCCCGTCTCTGTGAAGCTCTGTGAAGTTCTTTGCAACCTACAAGGAATCCAAATTGTCAAGGCCTACGCTCTCTTCTAGGAAACCTTTAGACGTAGATTGAAATGTCGCAATCACTATAAGTCGTGGTGTGAAGGTCGCCAGTACCTTTTACCCGATCCGTCTAGTGTATGTTCGAATTGCATACATAAATCCAGGAGAAATACTTGTACTAATGAACCCGGAACTACTAAGCCATGAGGTCCTCCTATCTGATCTCGGTAATAGTAAGACCCTATCGTCTAGGGGCAGCTTCAACCACTCCTGCCTCACAGGTCTGGCCACCACACCCAAGGGCGTCTTTCACCGGTGGTTTATGCGAGGATGCAAAGGAGATCTCGTACACTAGCCTTGTATTGAGATTGGTAAGTTGAACGTTTCTCCATTGGTTTGTTCAAAAAGGTGGTGTCTAAGGAGATGGTTCTATTATGTCTAATCTGTCTGTGTTTTCCTTCCTGCACTGCACGATGAACTGGTACTGCTGCACCCACTCCTACCAATGTGCTGCTGGGCAGCCCATCTCTTCCATTTTTACCAACTAGGATAACGCCCTATGAAATTTCACGCTATCAGGCAGTATCTCAAGTGCCTGACCATCGTGAGTGTAGCGAGTAGTTCGTGGTGTGTTCGTGTTCCCAAACGCCTTCACCAAAAATGAA